ACCATAATACTTATTAAATACCGATAATTAACCGATAAAGTTGAGTAAATACCGATAACCCCCCATTTATTTATTTATTGAAAACAAGACAAAAAATAGATGAATTATACCAGGACACGCTTTAGTCTTCGTAGTGTTGTGATACGTTATATTCTCGTAGCAGCAGCGGTGATGAGAGAACGCGCTTGAGAAACAGTTTGGAGAGAAGAAATGCTGATTTTATGTTGATGAAAAAATACTGATAATTTACCAAAGATACTGAGTAAATGCTTATTTAAAAATAACCTAAATTTATTCATTTACTTAATTTGTGGTAAAGTGTTTTTACTAGAAAATGAGACAAGAAATACTCATTAAATGTGGATTATGAAACCATGATGAAACAATACTGATTAAACACTCTAATTTACCAATAATACTGAAAAAATACCAATAAAAAACAATACCAATAAAACCCAATATTTTCTATTACTTAATTTCTGATAGAAATGCTGATTTTATGTTGATGAAAAAATACTGATAATTTACCAAAGATACTGAGTAAATGCTTATTTAAAAATAACCTAAATTTATTCATTTACTTAATTTGTGGTAAAGTGTTTTTACTGGAAAATGAGACAAGAAATACTCATTAAATGTGGATTATGAAACCATGATGAAACAATACTGATTAAACACTCTAATTTACCAATAATACTGAAAAAATACCAATAAAAAACAATACCAATAAAACCCAATATTTTCTATTACTTAATTTCTGATAGATAAATAGATAGCTAGATAGATAGAAAAATGAGACAAAAAATACTGATTTTCAAACCATAATACTTATTAAATACCGATAATTAACCGATAAAGTTGAGTAAATACCGATAACCCCCCATTTATTTATTTATTGAAAACAAGACAAAAAATAGATGAATTATACTGATAAAATCTATCTATCTATCTATCTATCTATCTATCTATCTATCTATCTATCTATCTATCTATCTATCTATCTGTCTAATATCTATTATTAAAACCAGGTACATACATATGAAATTAAATAGAGTAAATAACTTCCTTTTAGTGCACACTAAAGAGAATATCACTTGAAGTAATATAATGCTAATGCCTAAAGCAAATAAGCCTAAATAAAAAACCAAGGCCTATATACTGTAAGGTTCAAGAGAAGCATGTGTGGTTTTGCCCTAAAAGAGGTGATGTTGTTTTATTATTATCAATATGATTAATATCTCCATATGTAGGTCGTACAGCACAGGCTCTCTGTGTCTGAAGCCGCTGTTCTTCACGTCAGTGTGTTTGTTTCCTCTGTTCGTTTATTTCCCTCGGGGATCAATTAAGTGGATTAATCCAGTGGTCTTATTTTAGCCATTGTTAGCGTGCAGCTCTGGTCACCTTGTGAACCTGGATGGAAACCTGAGTTGAAGGCTGACGGCGTTTCAAACAGAAGCGCTCGCCTCGTTTCACCTCCTCGCCTGTTGTTGGAGGGCTAGACTCAGTCTCTGTCACTCCATCTGTGGCGCTGGGCCAAATAACTGATCAATCTGTAAGAGAAGGGCCAGACCTCCTAAACACTCGGGAGCATGTGTCTAAAAAGAAAATATTCCCCAAAAGTTTATAAAACATTGATTTTGCTCTGGTAGCACTGGATGACATTGCATTGCACTGCACTGCATAAAATTAAAAAAAAAAAAAAATACAAATAAAAATAAAAAAATAAAAAAAAATAAAATAAAATAAAATAAAAAATAAAATAAAATAAAATAAAATAAAACAAACAAACAAACAAACAAATAAATAAAATAAATAAAATTAAATAAAAATAAATAAATAAATAAATAAATACATAAAAAAAAATAAAATTATATAAAATAAAATAAAACGAAACATTTCAGCCCTTAGGATGATATTCAGTTAGGATACAACGAATTTTCGGGCACCGAAATTTATCGGCCGAAAATGGCATTTTTGGCTTTTGGCCAAAAGAGAAAAACAGACGAAAATATACATATAATATATATGGTGCATTTAATATATATATAATGCAGTTAATAATGCATTAGTAAATGTTGAAATTAACATTAACTAAGATTAATAAATGCTGAAGAACTATTGTTCATGCTTAGTTCATGTTAACTAACGTAGTTAACTAATGTTAACTAATGAACCTTATTGTAAATTGTTACCAATATTAATATAAATTCTGTCCAGTTTTATTGTGTTACTTTCAGTAAAAGTGTGGTTATTTGTTTTTTAAATTCAGTATAATTAAAATTATTGAGTTAAATTAAAAAGTCTTTCAAAACTACTTTATGTTATTTAATAAAAGAATAAATAATCATTACAAAGCATTTTCGGTTTCGGTTTTCGGCCCAGAATTTTCATTTCGTTGCATCCCTAATATTCAGTATACTGCATATCTTAATAATGTTCTAAAATGTATGTTTTCAAAACATTTACACAGTTTTTAGATTAATAGAAATAATAACAATAATACAATATTAAATAATAAAAAAAGAAGTGCATAAGATAATGATATTCACAATTGTTAGTCTTTCCCCCCCAAAAAAAAATTATGAACATTTGTTTTATCACTCTACATTTTGGTAAAAAAAATTAAATAAAATTCTATATTTAGTATAAATATTTTTTGTATATCAATGAATATTATAAATATAAACATATAAATATTTACATTTATTTATATAGGAATTATATACACACATTTTGCATTATTCAAAACATTGTGCCCATATTCGAAAAGCAAATATAAATATATATTATGTTGTTAATTAATTTTAATTAATATAACAAAATACTTTTAAATGTAATGATAAATTAACACATTTATATAATATACTAATATAACATATATGTACTTTTTATATCACTGTAGTATTTTAATTATATATAATGCAAATTCATTATAACATTATATTCACATCCCAAAGACAAAGAACTCAATATTATATTATATTTACATTTAAATCCTGAAATCAGCATAAAAAAATGCAAAAAAAAAAAAAAGTTTCCAGATGCTGTCTAGACCTGATATTTTCAGTCTGTCCTGAAATCATTGAAATCACTAATCAATGATGATTGCCAGATCAAATCCAAAACTCCAGTTGTTACTTTTCCTAAATATATCAGCATCATCTTTATACAATAAAACGTCGACATCTTGTCATCCGAGCTCTCTTTGTGTCTTTGTACTTAGTTACGGTGTTGCGTTATAGTGAGACGTTTAATCTTGCGCGTGTCAATCCGGCCGATCGGAGCGACATCTGATCCCGCAGCAGCGTCCAGAGTTCAGACTCCCAAAGGAAGTAACCTTGAGTCCATCTTGGCTCATAACAGCATAACAGTTATTCAAACAGAACCGACAGATTGGTTTACACACACGGCTCCTAACAGAGATTCCCAGAGCCTGTCTATCGGCCCCGGCCCCGGGGCTCCTATTCTCGGGACCCTGACAGGACAGAGGGACTCTCTAGCGCTCAAAATAGAGCATGTCGAAATGCTTTGTGTCCCGGCAATGCGGTCCCAGCTGCCAGTGTGCTGAGAGGGGCTTCTTTGACAAATTTTCCGAGTGACTCTGAGCTGGAACTCAATGACAACAGCAGATCACTGATGGAGAGCAATACCACATATGTGACCCTGGACCACAAAACCAGTCATAAGTGTCAATTTTTCAAAATTGAGATTTATGCATCATCTGAAAGCTGATAAATATGCTTTCCATTGATGTAAGGTTTGTTAGGATAGGACAATATTAGGCTGAGAGACAACTATTTGAAAATCTGGAATCTGAGGGTGCAAAAAAAATCTAAATATTGAGAAAATCATCTTTAAAGTTGTCCAAATGAAGTTCTTAGCAATGCATATTACTAATCAAACATTAAGTTTTGATATATTTACGGTAGGACATTTACAAAATATCTTCATGGAACATGATCTTTACTTAATATCCTAATGATTTTTGGCATAAAAGAGAAATGTATAATTGTGACCCATACAATGTATTGTTGGCTATTGCTACAAATATCCCCCAGCGACTTAACACTGCTTCTGTGCTCCAGGATCACATTTAGCTCTCGTTTCCCTCTTAAACATCCTCAAAACAAGGTGCATCTTGAAGCAAGTTTGCATAAGACAGTAAAAAAGGGTTTTCAGAGAATATTTCTTGACTAAGTTCTCTTTTTTGTGATTATAAAAATAAAAATAAAACTTAATTTTGAAGTAAATTGATCTTGTTATAAGGATGTTTAGGTAGTTTTTTAAATTTTTAAATTTTTTAGGAAAACTAGATTAAAAAAATACTATTTAAATAATTTAAACTTTTACTGTCAACCAATATACCTGTATATATATATATATATATTAAAAACGGTTGATAAAAACCATATCTAAATAATCAATAACACAAAAAATAACAATTGAACTATTATTTATTCCTTCATTTCTTAGATTTTTTTACTGTCAATATAAACAATATCTAAATAATAAGAAAACAAGATAAATACTGATTATGTGTTGATTTTAAAACTATGATAAAATAATACTAATTACATATTAATGAATTATTTATTTATTTATTGTAAATAAAAACTAAATATAAATAATCAGTAACAAAACATTTTATACTGGAAATAAAAATAGTGATTAAATGTTGATTTTAAAAGCATGATGATATTTTGTGCATGCTGACCATGATGAAATAATTAATTTTTTATCTGTTTATTTTTTCTGTCAATAAAAACGTAATAACCTAAATAATAAATAACAAAGCTTGTTTTTGAACTGGGGGGGGGGGGATACTGATTAAATGTAGATTTTAAAACCATTATTATATTGTGTATGCTGACCATGATGAAATACTAGTGATTAAAAAGCAATATTTTCTCTTGTCAATATAAAAAATAATGAAATTATTTCCACTGAAGTATCACTACTTATTTTCTGTCATAAACTCGAAGCCACGCTGCTGTAAACAGTCCCAATCTCGAGCACATTGTGCCACACGAGGAAGGAAGCGGTGGTTGGTATCAGTGCGTCTGGGATCCGGGGCCCCGTCCAAACCCGACTGAAGTGGGGCCCGTCCATTAGCACGTCCTTCAGGGACACGGCGAGGTGTGTGAGTGTGATAGCAGCCGTCACCCGCACCCTCACGCTCTCAGCAGACGAAGCGCTGGCGCCACCGGCCCCTCAGAGCCACTGTTAGTCAGAGAGCCAGGGGTCTGTTCTTCTCTTTGGGAACAGGGAGGACAACAGGTTGGAACTCACTACGAGAAAACATCATTTATGTGAATTTAACACATTTAAAGGGTTAGTTCGCCCCAAAATGAAAATTCTGTCATTAATTACTCACCCTCATGTCGTTCCAAACCCGTAAGACCTTCCTTCATCACACAAATTAAGATATTTCTGATGAAATCCGAGAGCTCTCTGACCCTCCCACAGACAGCAACGCAACAGTCCATGTGACATCAGTGGCTCAACTTCAATTTTGCGACGCTACGAGAATACTTTTTGTGTGCAAAGTAAACAAGAATAACAATTTATTCAACAATTCTTCTCCCCCAAGTTACTGTCTTCTGCCATTTTGGAGAGTATCACAACGCATACACACGCTTTCCCCTAAGCGTAAACATCACTGATTACGTTGATTATGTTCTTTGGGTATATAATATTATATATATATATATATATATATTGGGTTCTCTCCAAAATATTATATTATGCAGCAGGAATATATTTTTTATATGTTTCGCTCTAGCATTTACCATTTTCTGTGTCATGCATAGTCTAACAAAGACAGAACTAGTAATATATATACTGTATATATATATATATATATATATATACAGTATATATATTACTAGTTCTGTCTTTGTTAGACTATGCATGACACAGAAAATGGTAAATGCTAGAGCGAAACATATAAAAAATTAAGTGGGAGAACTTGCACAATTGGTGGCTGACTAAATACTTTTTTGCCCCACTGTATATATATATATATATATATATATTACACTTGCTGTGATAGACGGTGTTTTCGGTTAAACGGTTTGTTAAGCGACATCGTCTTGTCAACACAAGAAAGACAAGACGATGGCAGAAGATTGTTTCGAAAGGAAATGCAAAGGCGCCTGTTTGGCAATATTTTAGATTTGGAAAAGCTTATTGACTGGAAGTTTTTTTTAAACATTCGTTTCTTATTTATTTGGTTCCACGGTGTTTGCTGATTACTTTATTTATACTTTGTGTATTTTATTTATTTTATTTTACATCAAGGTGAAAAGAGGGAAAACTCAAACGAACAATTGCTTGACGCCGAATTGCGGCAATTCAATTGCCGCTAATTTGAAAGTGAAAGTAAAATGCGCACGGTACTTTTACAAGCCATTTGAAAGCGAAGCAAAGAGGGAAACTAGAACGAACAAACATATATTTATATAAAATTTTAAAAAACAAAAAAATTTCAGAAACATTTCTTTTCATATTTTGAGATACTGGTTTTTGACTTTCATGAGCTGTAAGTTCTAATCATCAAAATTAAAACAAAAAACTTTTTAAATGTTTTACTTTACATGTAATGAATCGAGAATATATGAAAGTTTCACTTTTTGAAATAAGTTACAAAAAAAAAACTTTTTCACGATATTATAATTTTTTGAAATGCACCTGTATATACAGGGCAGCGGGCCAAACTCATTTCTTGTACGCAATAACAGACTGATGCCGCTAATAACCACTTATTCCTGTTTTCCACAGCAAATGTCCGGATGGTTTTGAATGTATGAAGACCGGACGAAACCCCAACTACGGCTACACCAGCTTCGACAGCTTCGGATGGGCTTTTCTTTCGCTTTTCAGACTCATGACACAAGATTACTGGGAAAACCTCTATCATCACGTCAGTAGACTGTCTGTTCGCTCTCATTACATCACACTCAAGCATTACAAACTTCATTGGTAGCTGGATGACATACGTTTCTTAAAAAGATGTATTTTTTTAAATTAGTATTTTTATTTGTAAAGGATGCATTAAATCCAGTAAAAATGCAATCAAATAAATTTAGTTTTGTATTTCATATAAAATATTTAATATTTAATTATAAAAAAAACTATCATAAAATGTATAAATATATAATTTATATGCATACACTACCATTTGGGGTCAGTAATTATTATTTTTTATTTTTTATTTTTTTAAAGAAAGAAAATAATACAGTACTTCTATTCAGCAAGGACGTGTTAAATTGATGAAAAGTGACAGTAAAGACATTTATAAATGAATGCATTTCAAATAAATGCTGTTCTTGTGAACTTTCTATTCATCTGTGAGTCCTGAAAAATAAAAAGTATCACTGTTTCCACAAAAATATTGTGCAGCACAACTGTTTTCAGCATTTATGATAATCAGAAATGTTTCTCGAGCAGCAAATCAGCATATTATACTGATTTCTGAAGATCATGTGACACTGAAGACTGGAGTAATGATGCTGAAAATTCAATTTTGATCACAGAAATAAATTATATTTGAACAGATATTCACATAGAAAACAGCTGTTTTAAATTATAATAACTTTTCAAATTTTTACTGTATTTTTGATCAAATAAATGCAGCCTTGCTGAGCAGAAAAACCCTAAAACTTTGAAGAGTAGTGAATATGTAAATATAGAATTCAATGTAATTTATGTCTATATCTTAGCATCAAAATGTCAAAAATGATGCAGAACCTTTGGATGGTAGTGTATGTATAAATATCTGTTTTCATCCATTGATTAATCTGTTTTTGAGAGTTGACTGTAGATTACTTTAGAATAGCCTTTGATTGATCAGTCTGACCGATGCATCTGTCTGACACTAATTACAAGCTTGTGAACAGATATTGCACATGCGTTTTTCTTCAAAGGTAACTGATAAAGTCATCTGCGAGTTCTTGCAGCCGTTGTGATCTGACGCTGTTGTTGTGCTGACAGACGCTGCGCTCGGTGGGAAAAGCGTACATGGTGTTTTTTGTGCTGGTGATCTTCCTGGGCTCCTTTTACCTGGTGAACCTGATCCTGGCTGTGGTGGCCATGGCGTACGAGGAGCAGAACCAGGCCACCATCGCAGAAGCCCTGCAGAAAGAGCAAGAGTTTCAGCTCGCCATAGAGCAGCTGAAGAAGGAACAGCAGGTACGTCTGATTAAATCAAATGTAACAGTAAAATAAATAAATGGGGCTGCACAATTAATCTAAAGAAACTGGCATTGTGATATTTCTAAGTGTGATTTAGCTTGGCTTAGTACAGCGATCATATGCTGTTGTTAGTTAAGTATCTAATCTGTTTTCACAGTGAAGCTCGGCACTGTGTTCATTTACACACGTGCATCTTATAATACAGTGTTTTCAGTGTCTCTCAGTGCTTCACTGTAAATGTAGTGAACATCTGCGCATGAGCTGTGAGATTAATGTGCATTTGGGACTGCAACGTGTGCTAGATTCACTAACTTTCATATTTCAGATTCATATTTACAAACGTGCATTTCTAACATTTTTGCGGACAAAAGTTTACAGGATTGAACTTTTAAAAGCAAAGGATTTAAGTAGTAGTAATTTTACTTGTAGTGTACAATAAAAAAATATTAAAATATAAATATTTATAATATCACATTTATATTGATTTTTTTTTAATTTTCCAGTATAAATGCAATTTTCAACAGCAATGTATTTCTGTCTTAATTTGTTATAATAATAATAATAATAAATAAAATATTAGTATTATAACTTGTGGTGTAAAATAAAACAATTATTATAATATCACATTTCATATAGATTTTTATTTTATTTTACAGTACAGTTGTAATTTACAAACAGCAATGTATTTCTGTCTGGATTTTTTATAATTTAAAGAGTTAAAAAATAATAATGATAACTATACCTGATTGAATCAATAACGTACAAGAAGTGATGCAGCATTGTGCCTATAATTATGACTTTTGTGTCTCTCAGGCGGCTCAGAAAGCACAAGAAACTGAGTCCATCTTGACGGCCGACGTGTCGCCGTTCTCCTCACAAGACAAAGGGAATCTGGACCGGAGGAAAAGCTTGAGACCGCTGTCTGAAGGAACGGAGGACGGCAACAATGACAAATCAGCCAAGATGGACACTATAGAGGGGATGAAGGTAGATTTATCACCCAAAATCATTCATCACTCCTCATTTACTCACCTGTATGCCATTTTATTCTGTCGAAATGTCTCACCCCCCATGTCTTCCAAGATATGCATGTCTTTCTTTCTTCAGTCGCAAAGAAATTAAGTTTTTTGAGGAAAACATTCCAGGATTTTTCTCCATATAGTGGACTTCAGTGGTGCTCAACGGATTGAAGGTTAAAAATGCAGCTTCAAAGAGCTCTACATGATCCCAGCCGAGACATAAGGGCCTTTCGCCTCTAGCAAAACGATCTATCATTTTCTGAAAAAAATTACATTTATACTAGGGATGCACTGATGTATCGGCCGCCGATATTTATCGGCCGATTTTTCCTCAATTTACAACCATCGGCATATCGGCTATATAAGGAAAAAGGCCGATATAACAAACCGATGGTTTATTAATTAACTGCGTGAAGGCACTTAGCTGTATAATGTCTGTTGCATAATCTTGCTGTCTGCACTTTAATGCTAATCAAATAACAAAAGACAAAAGATCACACAATACTTGACTAAATAACTTTTGTACCTTTAATAAGTGTAGCGGACCTCATCTGAATGATGAACAAAACTTTACTGATGTTTTATTAAGTTTATTGCGTCCTTTTTCACTAGAAAAAAAGTTGCATCTCTCAGTTGCATTATCATCAACATACAGCGAATTACACAAAACACTTATTACAACTAACAGTAAACAAATATATACAGATCTCATGCCTTTTCGGGGGGTGCTTAATAAACTGACAAACTTTAAATCCGAAGAACTGCATGCTTTCATTACCGATATAGCTCCGTAGACTAGAAAACCTGTCAAAATAAGAGTCCCGCCTTAGTAAAGGATATCTCATTCATATTTAAACTTACAAAAAATATTAAAATGTATACAAAACAAAAACAAATTAGAAGATTAATCATAATAAAGTCTGTTACAATAAAGAAGGATTAATATGTATTTAATTTATACAGTGATGTGTTATTTTACATTTGTTTACTTTATTTCTGTACCTGAAAACTGTTAAACCTACCTAAAAGCACTGTTTATTTAATATGTATCTTTGCTCTGTTGTATTTATGTAAGCCTGTTGAATGTTAAATGGATCCAATACATGTTCATTAGAAATTATTCAATGATGCAGCAATAAAACTGCTAGTATAATTTAATGCAGGTGTTTTTGAACTTTGCTGATTTAAAACATGATCAAAATACTATCTATTTTGATGCCAAAATATCAAATAAGAGAGTAAGTAACAAATATCGGTATCCATCGGGCAGGACATCCAAATGCTTGCCTATCATTCATCGACCACAAACATGGCTTATCATCTGAAATATGTAAGTATTAGCAACTTTACCTGGCCGCTCAATCTAATGTTAACCTAGAGAAATGTGCACTAGTAGTGTTGAAGTTAAACAGTAATGCTCACTGCAGGACAGATGGGGGTGCCGGTGCGCTCACTTGCTCTTAAAATACTCCGTAATTTTTGGTCATACAGATAAGAGTAATACATCTTTCAAATCTGTAAAGATTCTACGTTTGTTTGTGTGCACTCGCAATAACAACAAAATGCGCTATTGTAAAATAATGAAAGCAAACATAATACACTTTCTGCTGTCTCGGTCTCTGTGAACTTGAGTGCGAAACTCCGTGTATCTTTGCCTTACGGACATTAAAAATATATCTATAGAGAGTGAAATGTCTACTTTCAACCGAACCAATTCAAATGGAAAACAAATACTCTTCGATTATGTAATCCGTATGGAACATGCATACAGGCACATCCAATACTGCGGAGATGAAGAGTCAGTGTCGCCGATTCATCTCTTAAACCGAAACAAAGAAAGCACTTGTTTATCAGTGAATTATTAAAATGTCAATGCAGCCTTCTTACTGTTTTTCCCTGACACATTCATAATCATTACTTCTGCCGGTGTGCTGTGGCAAGCTTTATGCGTGTGCTTGAGCACTTATTAGGCTATGTAGGCAATTAAAGGCTCATTATAATGATTTAAAAGGTTTATTAATAAACGTGCGATTAATCGACTAATGCTTAAAATGAACGACTACTAGTCGACCAGAAAAACACTTAGTCAAGGGCAGCCCTAGTTTCTGCTAATAATAAATCATTTGTAGTGCCGTTACCTTGACCACAAAACTTAAAATGTCTCATTTAATTGTAAAATTGTCAACCCTGTTTCCAATCTGAAAGCACACACACACACACACACACACACACACATACAAAATATATTAATTTAGCTTGAGATGGCGTCATTCATCAACACTTGAAGACATTCTTTGTCTGATAGAATGTTTAAAGGGGTCATCGGATGCCCATTTTCTACAAATTGATATGATTCTTTAGGGTCTTAATGAAAAGTCTATAACATACTTTGGTTAAAATTTCTCAATGGTAGTGTAAAGCAACATCCTTTTTACCCTGTCAAAAACAGCTCTGTTCACAGCGACCCGTTTCGATGCATGTCCCTTTAAATGCTAATGAGCTTTGCTGACCCCGCCCCTCTCTTCCGTGGGGTGATGAGCCGTTCTCATGAGACTGTAAACTGTAGCCACGGAACTTGCTAGCTAGCACGTTGTTAGGAAAGGCGATTTGCAAAGATTCATAAAAAATACTCACTTCTTCTGTAGGTGAAGGTGGAACACAAATGATTCGCGCGAACATAGACGCATTTATGTAGATCAGGGACGCATTCCCTTCAGAAACAATGTAATCCAATGCGTCTTCAGCGGCTCAGATGTCGGGAGTAAATGAAGACTGCTATTTTCATTACTACATCCAACAACAGAACACCTCAATCGCTCAGGAGACATTCTTGTCTACATCTGCTCCGGTGCTGAAACAATGGCGGACTGATGACAGTCACTCAGGGCGGAGCTAAGGTAAAACGCCAGTGTCAATCAACAATTGTGGGAGGGGCCTGGGTCTGTGTGACGTCACTCAGCCAAGAATCTGAGAACGGCTTGATTTGAGAAAGGGGTTATTATTTTGGGGGATTTAAAAAAAAAAAAACACTGGGTGGATTTTTATCATTATAGGGTGGATGTGTACAAACACACATTTGTGAGCCTGGAGCACAAAGCCAGTCTTAAGTCGCTGGGGTATAATTGTAGCAATAACCAATAATTATTTTAAATTACTGATTAACAACAAGAACAATAATAACAGTTAATAATAAACCAATATGAATTATTATGCATTATTACCTTTAATAATAGTAATAATAATACCATTAATAATAATAATAATAATAATTATAAATTCTTATTGTTTAAATAAAATAATAATAATAATAATAATATTAATAATAAACAATTTAATGTTTTAAATGGAAGTGTAGAATAAAATAATTAAAAAAATGGTTATCAGATGATTAAACATTAAATTGGTCATTAAAAAAAAATCAACATATCTCTACATATTTCACCCCAAATCTAAAGAAAAAAAAACCATAATGAAACTGAAGCGTTTTGTTAGAAGCATGCATATTTTTGTATTGTGGCATTTGCTCATTATTTATTTATTTAATCATTTTTCTAACATGTAAAACATTTTTACAGTATTGAGATGTGACCGTTTTTGTCAGATTGACCTGTAAACATTGTTAGTTTAAAACAGACGTGAGCTCAAGGTTAAGTGTTGTGTGACGTGTTGTTAAGTGTTGTGTTTCCCAGAAACCTCCTCATCTTCTTCAAGGACAAACATAAGAGCTCCAGTCTCTCTGTGTTACAGTATATTCATTCAGTCAGTTCCTCTATAGCGGCCAGTAACAAACCTTACATCAATGGAAAGCTTATTTATTCAGCTTTCAGATGATGTACAAATCTCAATTTCACAAAATTGACCCTTATGACTGGTTTTGTGCTCCAGGGTCACATTTATGTTCAAACACCATGTAAAAGTGAATTTTGCATCCGATGACCCCTTCAAGTCATTTCATCCTTATGTTTCCAGCAAACGCACTCTCTGCTGGTCCGCACTCTCTCCTTACGAGCCCGACGGGAGAGTCAGGTCAGCATCTTCAACTTCCGGCCGCCGAACAAAGACTCGGAGGTGGATTTCGCCGACGATGAGTTCAGCAATCACGGCGATTCGGACAGCCGCGGCGGGGCGCTGGCGCTGCCCTGGAGCAGGAGACACCTCTCTGCTGTTTGCAAATGTTAATTTGTCTGCGCGTCAAACGGAATAAGTCAAAGACTCAGGTTATTTTAATGCAATAAGTCTTGGGACCAGCAAACATTATGGATTTTTTTATTGTCTAGACATTTTGCATGATCCGATATTAAGCTGAAAGCAGCATAATCTAATGGTTTTTTGCAGTACAGAAGTTATTGCAAGGATATTGCATGGATTGCATCTGACAAAAAACCTGTAAGACCATGTCTAGGTCATATTTCACCCCAGAATCATATTTTACTATATATATATATATGTGTGTGTGTGTGTGTGTGTGTGTGATTAGAATTTATTATATTATATTATATATTATATTCAGTATACTGTAATTTAGCACTTTTATCCAAAGTGACTTACAAAAGAGCAACAAAGGCAATTCGAAAAAAAACTAAACAGGTATATTTCTTCTATTAATTATTTGTGTATATTTGGTTATTATATTATTTATTGATTTATTTTTATTTTTGTAATTTTATATTTTTATTTATAATAATAATAAACAACAACAATAATAATAATAATAATAATAATTATTAATTATTAATATGTTAAATATTATACATATTCAAATTATAAATATAGAAAATTACAATAAATGTATTTATTTAATTTTTTGTTTATTTTTAGTTATTTATTTTGGGGTGAAATGCATGCCAGACATGTTCTGAGCAGGTATGTGGAGTTTATTTTTTATATATATCTATTTTATCACATACAGTACAGACATATTTATCAAAACATGACTCGGAGCGTGCAGTGAGGGATCTGTGATTGCAGAGAGAGAGACGTCTCTGTTGCTTTTTCCTGGAAACACAAGTACACTTCCCAGAATGCCGTCTTATCAGTGTACTCAACAGCACTGACCGAAACGCCATATGAACCTCTTCAGATGCCATATACTGCCACGCATTAAACAGAAATGCACTGCATGCTTAATTAGCAATAACTGCATGCATCTGTTACATAAGTGACTGCATAAGTGATTTCCATAGATGCATATTGTACGATACATGTAAAGAAACCGGTAATAATAGATAGAAGATAATGAATGCTATTATTATTATTATTATCATTAATTTATATTAAATATAATACATATTAAAATACATATTTTTAAAACAGAACATAAAACACATGTTTAAATTACATTATATATATATATATATATAAGTAAAATAAATCAAATAAATAACTTGGAAGGATTTTTAAAATCTTTTTTGCATAAAATCCTTTATGAAAAAAATTAAAACAGACACAAATTAGACACTTATTGATGTACTGCAAGAACAGAGAGCTATAAAATGAACGTGGAGCAGCTCTGATATTGAGAAATATATAGTTAATACTGAGACCTCTTGATTTTTTTTACTTTATTGTAGGCAAGTCACAGTCTAATAAGAGACATGTGAGATTACTGAGGTCTTTTTCTCATCTAAGCAGCAGCAACATTTCAGTTTGCTCTCCATTTAATCTAAATGCAGTCTAGAGAGTCATTTTTTTATGTATTCAAAGTGATTTTCCTTTCATACGAGCGTTTGAAATGGGAAGTATGACATCCTGCCAGAAATATCTGAATTACTCAGAAAGGAAAGGAGTCTGAAAACTGTCTGGACTGTGTGATGGAGGCACGGATACCCTGTTGTCTTGGTGATGTAGTCATGGTAACGTAGCAACAGATGTTGAATAAGCGTCTCTCTCTCACACACACACACACACACACACACACACACACAACGGTGTTTCCCGCTCGTCTGAACAGTAGGAGTGGGCGTTCTGGTGGGCCGCGCTTCTGCGTCATTCCTTTGATTACCTGCGATCAAAAACACATTATATAATCAGAGGGTCATTGTTACAGACAGACATCATATCATTGACTCGAAGACCTCAGATTAAAACATTAAAACAGCAAATGGATAAAAGCATTTGACAAAAATTTACGCATTTCCCAAAACACCCATTATCACTGAAGACTTCTGCTGCTGAGGGTTAATCGCTGCTTTTATTGGGCTTTTGTTTTGCACTAAACAGAATTGATTTTTAAATGCCATTAGGAGTGTTGTAGATTAATATGTGTGTGTGTGTGTGTGTGTGTTTGCAGAGTCAATAATACTATATAAAATATTGTTTGCTGAGCCTTATCTAGAGACAAGAACATCAGAAAGTATTGAGGGTGGAGCTATCTAGAACTCCTTAACAACCACATAGTAACGCCCTGGCAACCACCTAGCAACCATCCAGTCACCCTAGCAACCACATAGCAATGTGTTCAACATCGTTCAGAGCACTTCACAACTGCACAGCAACACATGCAATACTCTTGCAAATGTGAAATACACTTTAACTACTGCAGAGCAATACCCTAGCAACCACTCAGTGGCTCTAGCAACGACATGAATGTGCTTTTAACTCATTCAGAACACTTATGAACTGCACAGCAACACCTTTACAACTACAGAGAACACTGTGGCAGTCACAGAGCAACACCCTAGCAACCACCCAAATACCCTATCAGCCACATAGCAACACCCTAGGAACCATCCAAACACCATAACGAATAGTAGAGTTTTTAAAAAAATCATTCAGAACTGGGAGCAACCGCACAATGACATTATAAATGCCCCTGCGATCACCAACAACACTGTAGCAACCACACAGCAACACCCTAGCAATCACCCAAATATCCTAGCAACTACCCTAACACATAGTAATATTCTTAAAAATCATTCAGAACAGGTAGCAACTGCACAGCAATGCTAGAAATGCCCCTGCAATCACCAACAATGCTGTAGTAACCACATAGCAACACCTTATAAACCATCTAAACACCCTAGCAACTGCATAACAATGTGGTTAAAATCATTCAGAACATGTAACAACTGCACAGCAATGCCCTTATAATCGCCCAAAACTTTGTAGCAATCACATAGCAACACCTTAGCAACCATTGAAAGACCCTAACAACCGCATAGCAATGTGTCACTCACATAACCCTACAGAAACCACATAGCAACACCCTAGCAACCACCCAAACTCCCTAGTGTACAGGAACAGGCTTAAAAATAATTCAGAAAAGGTAGCTGCTGCACAGCGACACTAGAATTGCCCCTGCAATAAACAACAACAACACTGTAGCAACCACATAGCAACATCATAGCAATCAGCCAAATACCCTAGCAACCACATAGCAACACCCTAGCAACCACCCAAACACCCCTAACACACAGCAATGTTCTTAAAAATCATTCAGAACAGGTATCAACTGCACAGCAGTACTAGAAATGCCCTTGCAATCACCAGCAACGGTAGCAACCACATAGCAACACCTTAGAAACCAATTTGTGCGTGAAACCTGCATATGAACATTTTCACAAACAAATCATGATTCACTAAATCTTTCATACTAAAATGTATTCTAAATTTAAGAAAAAATATAGGAACAACTGAAAGCACACGTACACAAAATTCACGCTCTGTCCGGTCTTAATAATCTACGTATACAGTATAATCTATTTATAGGCTATATATAATGTATGTTTTATCTTAGGATAATAGTTATGTATTACATATAATTACAATAAAATGTATATATTTCATCTTAAAATTATTTCATCTTAGACAGTGAAAGAGTAAGAAAAGCTGCGTTAGACAAGCTATAGCTCGCGCTGCGAGGTTTCTCTGAATGACTCGCATGTACAGCCGGCTAATGAAAGCTGTGTAACATGGGTCTGTATAAAAGGTGTTTTATTGTAAATGAACTGATTTTGAGGACTGCGCATTTGGCATTGCTCAAAGATCTGGCGAGAGTGCATCTGTAGACGGCACGCGTCATATGGGGTTGTGTGGAGTATTTTTGACGAGAGCGACGAAAGGCGTAAGGAAAGCGTGTGCGGAAAGCCCTCATATGGAGATGATCTGGGCGTGGACCTAGCAACACCCTAGCAACCACCTGGCCACCCTAGCAACCATAAACCTTGATCTTTTTTTTTTGTGCATTCTAAAGCTTTGGTATGATACATATTATATGAAAAACACCATACAGTGAATTGAAGTGAAAGAGAGAACAGTGAATGCTATGAATCTGCTCTTGTTTATTTCATTATGAAGCCATTTAAGTGACTGCCGTTGTTGGTTTTTCAGGGACACAACTCCAGCAATGAGCTGAGCAGTATGCTGCTGCCCCAGCTGCCCCAGGAGGGCCGAAACCGGACCCTGAGCGCCACCAGTTACATCACTGACGCCATGGAAGGTAAGACACGGCGCCTGACAGAAACACAACACAACAAAAACAAACCAACCACAATCACACACGAGCCAACAACGAGATATTAAATCCATATGCACATAAAATCCACATGAAATCTTTTCCAGCAAGGTGCGTGCGAGGACAGGAGAAGTGTCTCCATCTGCTCGCGGTTAATATCGTCCCCCGAGACTTCTCTCGCTGTTGTTATTCAGAGGAAAGGTGTAACCCTCCCCACTGCTGCTTCATCATGACACAGCCAGGCTGTGACATCACCTGGGTGGCACAAGAAGCCAGACTCTTCCCTGAGCGTTTTAGCGACTAAATAATAGCGTAACAGAATGTCCTTGCAGTTTCAAATCCGTTATGCCCATCGGGACAAAGTGTTTTAGGAAACAAAAGAGTTAGACCGCCTGTAGAAGTTTGTGTATAAATAAATCAAGTGATGAATTTCTTCCCCGCTGGGAAATGTGTGAAGGCTCATTCAGGCCATGGACGACAACTATAGGGAACTAAATGTCCACACAACTGTAACGATAACAACGCAGAGGAGCGATATCGTTGGAATCACTTTCAGAGCGATATTTTTCCAGCTGACGAATGATAAAAACATTGACAGCCAATCAGAATCCCCCCGACTTTAACGAGCTTGAGAATTTAAAGTGTCAGATGACGAAACTGAAGTGCACGCTTATAATAAACAGAAAAACATCGTACACTGATGTGGATGTTAATTATATTTATAGTTATCGTACACAGTGGAACGATATAGTTGGAATCACTTTCAGACCTCTTTTTTCCAGCAGTTTAATGAAATTACGTATTTAAAGTGGCAGACGA